TCTATGCAGTACTCCACACATGGAAAATGTTTTTGTTTTACTTGGTTTAATTCTGTAAAAAGTCTTCTTTAAGGAACCTTTTGCTATCCGATTATTAATTGAAAAAATAATCGACAGATTAATCAGTTAGCAAAATAATCGTTAGTCACAGCCCTACAACCAGCAGGCATTACAATAAAACTGGTTTTAAACCAGCCCTTCCTGTTCTGATGTTTTTGTGTAAGCAAAAGTGATCACTGCCTCTGGTCTGAACTTAAGAAGCACTTCGCTGTCAATCATATATATCTTATATAGCTGTGGTTAGAACTCAAATAATTTCAAATCTACCTCCCTGGACAATAGATAAACCACTATTTAGCCAGTGTTTAAGTCTTTAGGATTAGTTATGCACTTTCTACTAAATCTATGAACGTAGCACAAATACAAATTAATGTGACTGTAAATAACTTGAAAATTAGATTCTAAGCATCTTTGGTATTTAACAGACATTTCCTAACTTTAATTCCGTATTTCAAATAACTTCTCTTTTCATCTCAGAAATGCTCCTTTCTAGAATACAAGCATAACAGAAGTAGAAAGTAGTATTGCACTTACAATTCCAAATTTCTGTATAATGTTTTTGATGAAGTTTGTTGAATACAAGGAATTCCACGAGAAGTCTTAATTTTGGGAACTTTGAAAACTTCTCATTCTGACGGTAGATAGAAAAATGTGTTTGGTTTTAGGATTGATGTTGGATATTGGGTGTCTCTGTAAAATCCATTGAGTTTCCTCTCTGTTTATTGTCTGAATTATAGCAATGAGACCTTTAAACATATAATCCCAACTTTTAACACTGTATTTTGTATCAATGTCAAATTCAAATGTGTCTACAGTATACAAAATAAAGGTTAACCAAAGTTTTTCAAAACAGCAACACTAACGTTTGGATAGAAAATTGAATAAAACATAGTGAAAGCTGATAACACATGGATGAGTTCAGTTTTAAGAACTAGAATCTAGTTCTCCAAACGTCAAAGGCTAAGAAAAGAGGTGATTTTCTTTCAAAGGATAGTTAAAAGATTCTATCTAGTATAAAGATTAGGTTGTAAGATACTTTAAAGAGAATTGTCTACCACCTCTACCTTTTAACATTCATCTCAGAACATCAAGGACAGAGTGGTTGGTTGACTGGACTCTCAAAAGTGTGTGGAGGTCACGGTGATAGGATGTGGCTAGACCATTTGAAAGCATTGTCTTTTTATATGTCATACTTTTGTGTTTTTTGTATTATTGTGAAAGGGAATCTAGGGAGAGGGGAATATATATAACTCTTTTAAAATCTTGATATTGGTAATATTAACCTTGTCAACACTATAGATTTTATCGGCCATGAATTAAAGTGGTCTTTCAGTGAAATTATGCTATAACCAGAGAAAAGTATAATATTAAGAATATAAAGAATTACCTTTTTAAGTTCAATTCATTTCATCTAATATCTAAGGTTACGAAATCCCAAAATAATATTAGCACTTTTATTTATGGTTGCTCATTAGGGATATTAAATTGATTGCCGTAATTCTGGTACTATGCAATACTCTGGTGTTTGTGATGCTGGTAAGTTGCATATTTATTAGTAGCACAACTGTAAATTGATCAAAGCTTATTTTTTTCATAGGGAGTAAGATTTCTATGGAGCAAGTAACATATTCATCCCTTTTGCTGCAATCATGTATGAAATCATACAAATTCTTGTTAGGGTGTTGCTTTCTGTGGAACTATTGTTGCTTTTGTTCAAGTCATAATGGGGAGTTGGCCTCCCTTCACATCCAGGGTGGAGTAGTTGTAGCGTCAGCTAAAGGAGCATTAGTCATTTTTTTTTTCCTGACATCCATGGTAATAGACAACTTTGTACCTTTAAATACTTTACTTATTAAACAGATTTACATTGAGTGTAATTAGTCAGGACGTTGGTTGTTTAGCTTAAGTTTATAAAACACAAGTCTAAAGGCCGTGGCGGAGTGTAATTTATTCAAAGAGTGTTCATAAGTTATTTGTTGTTTCAAACTCAGTTTCGTTTTCTTAAACCAGGAAACCTCAGAAAAAGGATTTTTGGCATTTTAAAGTTGGTACATTTTTAAAACGGCTCTGATTCCTGTAGTTTAAATAGATTAGCTCCATCTACAGCTGGTTTTTAGTTCATGCTCTGTGACGAGAGTGTGCTCTGTGTCACTGTGAGGAATAAAGCAGAAAGCATGTGTCTGCTGTAGCAGGGAGAACTCCCAGAGGGATTTAATTCCATAATCTCAAACAATATGTCTGGGCAGAACAAGGATTCTCAAATGAGAAGGGTGGAATGATATGGAAAGCTGCCAACCCTGGTAAAAGTTGTATGTCTATGTATGTTTTTCAGTGAAATTGTGTTAATCAAGTTGTTAATGAGCACTTTTTTGTGAATTTTTATTCCGCTGAGCTGTTTTGTTTACAACTGCCCAGCCTCAGGTTGTTATGGTCTGATGTGTTTTTAAATGCCCTGCCTGCATGGGCGTGCATGCCAATGTATATTTTCTCTGACTAGACAGGCATCCCTGAGTGAGGCCTTATGTCCTTGTGTGAAGATGTCTATGTGTGTGTGTTTTTTGTGGCATCATCGCCCACGCTCACAGGGTCCATTCATTTGTGGCCTGGCACCTAGAAAGGAAGGCTGGTTCAGAAAAGCAGAAACTGAGGGATACTGTTTGGAGTTTGCTCACTGACTCAATGCTAGCTGTCTGCCTGGCACAGATTAGATCAACATCCATGAATATTCAGCAGCTGGCCAATCCTGCCAGAATAGCCCATATTTTGACCAAACCAAATGATGGTTTCTAGTTGTAGCTGCCCCTTTGTACAACAGATTACTTTATGTCCTTTTAAAAATGCTGGTGGTAAATTCAAATATTGGTCTTCTTTTTTTCCCCACATGATACAGATGCACAGGTTACTGTAGGATTTTTCCTACCAATACTGGTTCATATTGTTCTGAAAGTATTGCTTTACCATTTCTGGTTTAAACATATACTGTTTTTTTTTTTGTTTTTTTTCCCTAAGGCCTGTAGCGCCATGCATCACCAAATTCTGCTGCTGTAATGGAAGCAGTAGGTTTGAATCCAACAATCAAATGGCGGATTTGGGCAAAAACCCATTAATGCATCAAAGCTGATGTTACTTTATTCTTTATCTTACTTTATGTGTTCAAAGATTGAAAATTGAGGCCATTGTTTGTTGTTCCACATTAAATATTTATACATAATTTCACATGGTGGTCACTGTCCAGAGCAAATTCAGAGTAAATTTCTGATTTCTAGCAGATTAGGTATTGGAGCACTAAAACAACCAGGAATCAGAATTGGCTGAAGTTCTCTTAACTGGCTCTGACCGGTGATCAGGAGAGGAAATAGCTAATTGACCGAATAAGGTATATTAAAGTTTATTGATATATGTTTTTTCACTAAGTGAAAAAACAGTGACTCTGTGTCGTTCTTTGCAAGACACAGAGTAACAAAACAGAAGGTATTTTGTATTATTAAGTAAACCATACAAACTAAAACACATCACCAAAGCTAGAATGCTGGCAACAATTGAAGTAAAGCTTTGACTGGATGCTAACCAGATGGAATCCAAAGCATGAATTGCTGCAATTTCTGCAGCAATTTCTTTTGCAATGGAAAATGCAGATCAGTACATTTCTAGCCCTTCATCAAAACTGAAAAAGTTTATAACTTTTTTTTTCTATATACCCAATAGAACAAAACTGACATAGTATTTTAGTATATATATATTTAGTATATAAAATATTAAGTATTTTTGACAAAGTAATTGACATACAGTAATTGACATAGCATATACTTTCATGTTGGTCATGCATTGAGCAGCGGTAGCACACAAACCATATATCAAAGCTTCAGTCCTTTAGAAATGCAATCCTAAGTTCAAATTCTGACCCACTGAGCCCTATCCTGCATGTCTTTCATTTATCTGTTCTAATGCTGTCTACTTATTTTTATAATAATGTCCAGTAGTGCCATAAGACACAACAAAAAGCTGCTTCTGTCAAATAACCTGGAGCTTTTTTTTATATTACTCATATGCTGTCCCATATTTATATTATGCATTATATTTCTTTGAAATAAACAATTGCACTCAGAAGGTCCTATGGAAACAAGGAGTGTTAAGAACCTACAGTTGGGCAGAGAGACCAAAGGCATTATTTTAAACCCTGTACCTACTTGCTGCAAGACTACAGTGCTACCAACATGCCAATCCGATGTGTGCATGTCTACCTAAAGTATAGGTAAATCTGTACTCTAGTAATATCTACCTACCGCAATCTAACAATCTGTGTTCCATTCCAAGAACATGATGCAACAAATGCCAGTGAAATCCAAGTTATTTAGAAACGTTGCTTCATGTCAAAACCTTTTACACTAGCTCATTGTAATCCGTGAGTGTTTCTTTCACCGTAGTAATGTCTTTACTGTTTTGAACACTGCTTCCCCCCTCTTTCCCAAACACGCCTTTCGCCACAAAGGCAGGAACTGTGTGGATCTAAACTAAAGCCAGCAGGAAAAATGTGTTTGGTACAGAGTTAAGTCTGAGGAGGTAAAGGGCATACCTTGAAACAAGCCGCACAAAGACAAAACCAAGGAACAAACATTCCCTTTGTCTGAGATCCAGAATGGAGTTAGATAAGTACAGCTGAATATGGTGATAATCTTTATTTAAGGGTATGTTTGGGTGTTTTGGCTTGTAGGTCTCATAGCTGAGTGGAGAAAACAATTGGAACAGTTGAATGTATATTATCGTTATACTTTTTATGCAGATTAATAGAATCACGTAGAACGGCTCAGATGCATTATAATTATCTTATTTAATGTCCAGTTAATGAAATATTCAGATTATTAACTTCTTATTGGAATTGAACTGTTTCCCAGGATATTTTGGTTACCATACTAACCCATCATCTGTCCTTTTCTCTTTAGGATGGTTCTCTGGGAAACATAGATGACCTTGCACAGGAGTACTCTGAATACTACAATACCTGCTTCAGTGACGTCAGCGACCGCATGGAAGAGCTAAGAAAACGCCAAGTCTCCCAGGAGCTCGATATGGTAAATGCACACTTTAAAATGCAACCAAGAAATACTTCCCCTTGAGCAAATGTATTTAAAAACTACCTTACAGCTCATGTGCTTCATTTGACGGCAATTTTGAAAGAGGGAACTACAACTGCCCAGGGTAGTTGTCACATTTCTATCCAAAAACCTGACATGGAAAAGTTGTTGCTGAAAGAGCATGTGCTGATGTTTTAGGAAGTCTGCAAAGACTTTGTATAGAATTGAATGTGGTTCTGTAATGGAGGCCTCACTGAAAGAGCGACAGGTTCCTTTTCACAAGGATATAGGGTAGTGGGGCAACCCTTTTGGTTGCCAAGCTGCGAGCGCATGAATGGTGGAATGCTGCTGGTATTGCTGCTTAGAACCAAGCTTTGTGCAGCCTAAACACACTGTGGGTCTCAAAGATTATAAGACAATATAGGAATTCTTGTGACTTAACTGTACCGTATTTGGCAAATATTTCTAGAATTACAAAAAGCTTTCTGCCTTGTAATGTTTTACATGCATGATTAATTTGTTTTAATGATAAGGTGATACACATAGAAAAGCAAACATAAGTTGACATAAATACATTTGGAAATATATGATGTGAAATAAAAAAATGTAAGTAGTATAGAAATATTATTGGAGTAGATTAGGAACCATGGCAAACAGTAAAAATAATCAACAGAAAATCAGCTCGAAAACATACGTATACACATCTGCTGAGAAGTTAGCTTAATTCTCCAAAGAGAGTGCCAGTCAGAGACCTAGGCCTTTTTAATGAGGCTACTAGCAGATGAGAAGAAGCTGTTTTTTTATGGTGGGAGGATTTGATTCTGATAGACCAAGGCCCTCTGCTAGAATAGAGAGTCTGCAACACTTTGTGTGTCTAGATAAGGAGGGAACAGCTGCAATCTTACTGGGCCAACTTTGCCTTCTGAAAGTGTACTGCAGAGCAAATGATATGCTGCAACCTGCACTTTTCATTGGTGGTAGCAGAAGAATACCAGATGGTGATGGAAGAGGAGAAGATGGACTCAGTGATGTAGTAGAAATGGACCATCACTAACTATAATTGAACTTCTTAAGTTGCTAGAGAGAGTCCATCCCAGCTGTCCCTTTTTTGTGATGGAGGTGATGTTTACCTCTTATTTGAGGTCCCAAGGGTCGATGGTGCCCAGCAAGCCTGGAGAGTCCAAGGTGATGACTAGAGTAATAATGGGTGAGGAGTATGGGAGTGTGTTCTTTCTAAAGCAGAGGACCAGGTCCACTGTTGTCTAAAGTTGCAGTGAACAGTGGCAATTTCTCATTGAATTTAAGTATGAGTTTGTTACACATTAATCAGCTGTTAATTCGGCTCTAAGATCCGATTTCAGCTCTACTCTGGAGCAGCAGGACTCTGCCTGTCAGTCTGTATGAGAACTCCCTTTTGAGGTTTGAGCCTCGGCTTATTGAAGTAAGCAGAGAGAAAGTAGAGACCTGATTGGATAACACGCCAAAGTACGTCACTTCCAGGGTCTCTGGAGAAGGGGTGGGTCGTAAAGCTGGCTACTTGATGCTGATTGACAAAAATACATAAGGATTATTGACTGGCAGTGGACAGAGATGGAAGAGTTTTTCCTCATGAGTCTAGAACGGGGGTCGGCAACCCGTGGCTCCAGAGCCGCATGTGGCTCTTTTGCGTCCCCCTTGCGGCTTCCTGGAGCTTTTCAACAATTTATGAAAATCTATTTTTTTATTTATTTATACGGTGTGCAGGAGGTCAAAGAAAAAATCATTATGTTTTCCAAGGCTGTAAGCATTTGTATAATAAATAGATTTAAACATTATTTGCGTCATAGCCATACAGTTTAGTGGTCATAACTTGCAACCAGCAGGGCACGGTGCCAGGCAAACAAAGCTGCAGGTGTGTCTCCCATGATCCCAAAGGGAAAAAAGGAAAATAGCTGATGAGAAAAGAAGATTCAAATATACCGAATAATTTGCTTTCATTATCAATGCGGAAGGATTGCCTGCATTTTTGCTTTGTAATAAGAGGTTGTTAAAAAAAAAAAAAAAAATTTAGAAAAGCATTTCCGGGGAAGGCTGCTAAATATGCAGCCGACCACCAAGCTGGAAGGGAGAGAAAAGGTGCAATTGCAGAACTTATGGATAAATTAGAGGAGCGCAAAGAAAGATTTAAGAAGTGGATTGCATCTCCAAACTCCACTACTGCTGCTAGTTTTGTTGCAAGGATGGAAAACCGTCCACAGATCAAACAGGTAGCGCTCTGATGCAGGGATGGGAACTTTCTTCCATTTTTTCCCCAAATCCTAACAATAGAACTCACATCAAGGAACGCCAGTGACGGAGGATGTGGGATTTCAGGGTTAGAGAGCTCTGCTCTGATGGATGTCAGTTCCTGCTTGGTTCCTCATGACTCAATCAACTCCTCCCAAAAGAAACACGTCCACCATAGAAAGATTTCTTTACAGTATTTTGTTTCTATAATTTAATCAATGCAACAAAAACCTAAACCGCGTGGTGAAAGGCGGTGAAGCAGTGTGTGGTGAATTCCACACGGTGAGAGCGTTCACTGCTCTTCCCTCACCCCATGCTGCTGTGACATTTGCTCCAGGATAAACATTTAATCATGAATGCTTATCATATATTTAAGCCCACATAGTCCTTTTCTATAGTGGGATAATACACGGGATAATGGCTCCATGTTGCCATATGAGGCATATATAAGGCTCCAGACAGATTTATTTTGTGTTTTTTTTTTGTCCAATATGGCTCTTTAAGCAGTTTGGATTGCCGACCCCTGGTCTAGAAGGAAAAGTGAACATCTTGTGCTGAACTCTTACCATGGTTTCTGGAGTTTATTATTTCAGAGAGCTTCACAGCAGCTATTTTTACTTGTTGTGGTAATATGTTTATGTGTCTCAACATTTGTTAATGCAATACGTGACGTTTGGATTTAGTTAACACCACTGAGCCTCCCCCTGCTTCAGAGAGCATCAGCATCCACTGTTATAGAAGTAAAAGGACAGGGAGAGGAAACAGCCTTGAGGGGGATCAGGGATGATCGACAGTCTTATTAATTATTTTAAGAAATTTATGTTAGGCCACAAATGACCAGTCTAGACCCTGCTATCAAGTATTACTACCAGACTTTAACTTACTGTAAACAGTTATTGAAAAAATGATTAAACTACCCTTGTTAAATGTGATTTCTTGCTTTAAAGGTGCATCACCTAAAGAATACAATACAAAAACAAAAATGGTATTGCATGGTTTTAGTGGAGAAGGGAAATAATTAAACGAGTACAGCCAAATCTCCTTTTTTTAACCAACAACCAATTTTTAGCAGTGCTGCACACCAAAAAAGAGGAAACATGAGGTATCTGAACCTCATATCAAAGATTAAAGAAGCTGAATTACCCTGGTCAGAGTGTTTTATTATCCAAATTTAAAAATATTTTTTTTATCAACATGGCCTAAAAGTTAACTCAAAAAGAACAAACCATCTTTTAAAAGTCATCAGAACATTTCAGATAACAGATCTACCATATAATATTGATATGTGCCCAGTTGTCTTTAGAAACTAAAGATTTTTTTTACAAAATGACCATGTTACATTTAAGAAGTTCAGAAGTGAGAAAGAACATTGGTAAATCTAGGTTGAGTCATATTTATTATCAGATGTATGAAACAAGTTCATGTTCCTTTACCTCTAGTAGAAATATGTTTTAATTGCTGCCTTTGGGTCTTTTTTTTTTAACCTTCTAAGGCAAATATAACCAAATATATGTGGGACTGTATGAACATATTTGACTCTGAATCCTTGACTCAGTATGGATTAAAAAGAGTAAATACATTTATATTTCTATTATTTTTGATTTTAAAAACATTCAGAATTTATTGTATAATATTAGAAAAAGGGTTGGGTTTTTTTAGTTATTAGGGCTGAAACAACCAGATTCTTTGTGGTTAATCGATTATTGAAATAATCGTTAACTAATTGTGTAATATATGAATCATTAACAGGAGTATAGAGACAGTAAGACATGCCTTTAGCTAACAGAACAGCACACTGAGAGCAGTAATTATATCAAAATTGTAAGAAAAAAAAAAGAAAAACATTTTGCATTTAAGATTGAAAAAAAAAAAAACGTTTCCGTCTCTCAGTCTTTTCGTAACAGCCTTCTTTGGCTATCCGATTATTAAACGATCAATTGAAAAAATAATCAACAGATTATTCGATTTGCATAATAATCGTTAGTTGCACCCCTCTTAGGTATTAACGTCTCCGAATTAAAGTATTCATGCTCATTGTAAATTTATAACTAGTGTTGCTTTTCCCACCAAATAAGTAAGCTGCAAAGTATCACCTCCGGGCATGTTTTGCTCGTGGAAGGGGTCATCTTGAGTGCAGAGAACTGAGAAGGAAAAGGGGAAATAATCAGGGGGGATTTTTCAGCTTAAGAGAAGAAAAAAAGCTGACTGGGACCTGAGCCTGAATCCCAGTGCAGAAGGGGGTTGAGGATTTGAACAGAGGAAGAAGAAGGGAGGATGATGAGGAGAATGATGAGTAGGAGGTGGAGAGGAGAGCCTGCAGCTGTTTTGCCACTCTATAAAGTTTTGGCAACTGAATACAGGGGAAAGGAGAAAAATGCATGACGAAAGAAATATAGATCAGGCAACACCTTACTGGGAGCTCTCAATGTGCAGGATTGGCCCAGACCTAACAGACTGAACTTGGCTTAGTGTTGCAGTTCAATGTTTTACTAAAATAAGTGTGGAAAATGTTCAAGCCTGGAACCTGTTTTGTCCACCTTTACTTTAACAGAACAGCAAATAAACACATTTAGTATGTTTTGCATTATTTCATGTCAAGTTAGCTTATATTAAAATCTTTACATCGCTGATTTCCTTCAAAAAGATGCTCATGATGTTTATAGTGAGTCCTATCGGTAAGGAGTTTCTGCTTTACTAATTTGTTTCTACATCAGATTGACAGATTTTTTTTT